AGGGAAAAGGCCTTTAGGGTATTGTACAAGAAGGGTTAGGAGAGAACAGCTCAAGGGAAGAGCTGCAGAACCCCAGGGAGGAAGACACGGACTTGGGAGTCAGACAAACATGGCTTTAAGCTCTGGCGTCTTACATTTGGTGTTGGAGATGCTGCTTTGTTTCTCTGATCTCCTTATCTATAAAATGGGAATTCTACCTGCATTGCAGGGCTCTAAGTGCTTGTGAGCTCTAAATGAATACATGTAAAGTAACCGAGAACACTGTGGGCTCATGCTTGATGGCCGTTAAATAAAAGTGGCCGTTGTTCATTTCATCTTTGAATTATGCCTGAGTGTGGTGCGCAGGGAAGGAGGAAGTGAACAGTGAACCTGGAGAGATGGAGAGTTGATTCATGTGCCTCTCCCCAGTGGAGAACCTTGGAACCATTTAGGCAGGGAGGTGACATGATCGGATTTGCTTTGCATTAAGGTGACAGTGGCACTTGAAGAAGAATGGTTTGAAGAGGAGCAAGATTGGAGGCAAGGTGGTTATTGCAGGGACACAGGTGAAAGTCCACGTTGTGTTCATACGCCAGATACTGGCTAGAGGCGTGCAGGGAAGAGGAGGATGTTGAAATGTAGGATCGATAGCACTTGATGCAAGGAGATCAACAGAAAGGAAAATAAGATTCAAGAATATTTTATGGATTTCTAGTTTTAAGTCATTACAGATTAGAGGAACAAATTAGTTTGGCATTTGAGGTGCCTATGAAAAACATGGAGATGGCGGGGTCGACCAGGCAGTAGTGAGCTCAGGAGAAGTTGGGGCGAGAGAGGAGGGATTTGGGACTCATCAGAGAGCGAAGGAAGTTGAATTAGTGAAAGTGGGTAAGGGTCCCCTGGGAAAGTGTTTGGACGAAAAAGAAAAGACTGTCACATCCAGTGAAATTGGGAGAAGCAGAGTTCACAAAGGGACTGAGACCGAGTAGCCAGAAAGATGGGGGAAAGCTAGGAGGAAATCCCAGAAAGAAAAAGCTTCCGTTCAAATATCATATTAGTTGGAGGACTGCAGAGGACCCATCTGCATAGTGAACTTAGAGGTTTTTGTGAATTGGGAGAAAGTGTGGAGGGCAAGCCAATTCAGAAAGATATTTTGAAGAAGCAGAGGGACTAATTAATTCTGGCCTTGAGAGAGTTAGGGCTTCTACTCCAGGTAGGGGGAAGTTAAGACAGATTTGCCTAGAAGCAGCAGCAAGAAGCTCACGTGAGGGGGTGCTGCCCGGTGACCTCTGGGCTCTGTGATTCGAACTCCCTGTGGGGAGCTCAGCATGGTGATGGGTGGAAGATTTGAGGAGGTGTCATGGGTAGGAAAAGTTGAAATAGTTGGGAGAAAAATTGGGGGTCGTTGTGGAAGGTCCAGTGAACGTCTTACCCTTCCTCTTCCTCATCTTCATCCTGTGCTTCGATCATGTGTTTGTGCGTGTACGTGTGCGTACCATGTATCTTTGTATCTGTCAGACGTCAGTGTTGGAATTATCTAAGTGGATAATCTCATTATTTGGGACACATGATAATTCTTCAGTAAAGTCTTCTTAAATATATCATTCAACAGTTTTCGTATATTAGTGGACCTTGATGTGAATCATATTTTGCACTATAAACATTTTGTGAATAGGTGGACTAAATGACCTTGCCTCAGTCTAGCTCTAAAATTCTATTGTTCTACATATTCATAATGTAATCTGTAAGGTTCACGTTATTTCAAAGATACAAATTTTATTTCTTTAGAATAATTTGTAATCGGGCTTCTCACTCATCAGGCTCCCCTTCTAATCAGTTCGTGGTTGACTCTGTAGTATCTGTCCTCTCACCGACACACTTGTTATTTTTGGGACAATCTTTCTGAGTTGTCTAGAGGGTGATGCCCATCCTTTGCAGGTAAAACATTGCGTTAGACATTTCCTTTTATGTTTTTCCAAAATGTTGTAGGCATTAGGCGTAAAAAACACCCTTATTGCTTTGTTGACCTGTTTAATGCAGTTTCTACTGAACGATTATTACAGGTGCTTCCCACATGCTCGCCCTGCTGAATGTGCTTTACAAATACTAACTCAGGCACTCCTGTGATGGCCCCATGAGGGAGGGGCTGTCATTTTCATCTCTGGTTTACAGCTGAGGAAACTGAGGCGCAGAGAGGGAGACCAGGGAACTTGCCCAGGCCATGCAGCTAGTTATGTCCAAGTCAGGTTAACTACCGGTCGTGCCCTGCTGTTTCTCCATCGCATCACTTTGCCGTGTCATTTCCTGGCAAAGACGGGAACCTAAGTGGGAGGGTCTGTGTGTGCTCAGGCACGCCCACGTACAAGCATACCAATTTTTCAGACTCATGGAGCAATACATTAACGAGACGTTTTGAGTAACACTGAGAAGTATCTGACACACACGTGCTTATTAAAACCGTCGAATTAGCATGCTCTGTTCTGTGAGGGATGCTCCCCTGCTGCTTCCAGGGGCCCGGCATCAGTCAGTTGCTGGATGGCGCCACACAGCAGGTGTTGTGTCTTTCCTCTGCCTCACCCTGAGAGGACCAGTTCACAACAAAAAACAGAGACAGTTCTAGGGTCAAGAGCGTTTCTGGTGGAAGGATTACAGTTATTTCAGCTTTTTAGATGTGGGGTTCAGATCAAGAGAAGTTCACACTCTATGAGTCTTGTAGTCCTTACAGTCAACAGATGATTTAGGGCCTAAATGGTATGTGGAGTGTTGAGATACTCTGAAACCAAAATCTTCATCACTTAATACTTGGGATTTTTATTCAGTTTCAAAGTTGTTAAATAGTTTGAAAGCTGAATTGACATTCCCCTGGGATCGAGAGCTTTGGCAGATCACCCCTTAGTTCTGAGGTGCTCAGACCTGCAGCTGGGGCAGTTTTCAGGCCAGGGCAGGGTCCCTTTGTGTAGCTGGCTTGGAGTTAACCCTCTGAGCCTTAGGGATGGTGCACACACAGGGGTGTCGGGCACATACGTTCACAAAGGTCACTTCCTAGATTATGAGGGGACATTGTCTATATCCTCACCCATGTGCATCAGTCTTCTTTTTCTGACTTCATGGCTTACATTTTCTCAGGGAAACCATTTATTCTTTCCAAGTCCCATGACATTTTAATCTGGAAGGAGTTTGCATCAGAGGAAACAGCTGAGACCCCACAAGAAACAAAAATGAAATATTACTGTCTTTTTCCTTCACTGTTGGGATTTCTAAAGTTATCCCATAGCTCTAAAAATTAACACTGGAAAAAATTTGATTAATTCCTGGCTTTTAATGTTAAATATAAGATCTATTTTCAACTTAGATTTTTGTTTGTAGATTTTACATCTGTAGGGAAAATTTCCTAAGCATTATTGGTTTACAACCTATAGTAATAGCTTTTATCAGGGTCTGAGGCTTCAGTATGTCTTTTATGACTCACATGTGATTGCTACAAGAGCTTAAAAAGGGGAAGAGAATTATTTTTAATGCCTGGATTGTCTTAATGGAATGTTTTGATTCATTTGATAGATGTTAAATGCCATGTGAAAACTGACATTTGACTTGAGACTTAAATTTCACAAGCATTTTCTATGTCCTGTCCCCACACAGGCACTTAAGAGTGTGAGCCTAAGGAGAGAACTCTGGGGAAAGGCCTTACCTACTGGATTTCCTGGTTGTGGTTCTTTCCTTCTGACCCCTTGTGCTGCTGTTGATGTGAGATCAGGGCTCCGAGGTCAGGATGCTTCAGCAGTACAGTGTCCCCTAGCTGTGATGATAGAAATTGGATCCCCAAAGAAGTAACTAGTGTCATTTCTTATCTAGGTTTGAGAAGAGATTCTGTTTATAACATTGTTTACATGTTTCTCAGGCTGCTTCACATTTTCCTTACCTTGTTACTGAGGAAACCTTATTAAATGGGAAATACATTTTCAGATATTGAACAGGGCATTTGGTCTCTAACCTTGAGGCTTCCTTTACTAAATTCGTGACCTGTGTATACCCAGGGTGTGTTGCAGACAGGCAGGTCAAGCAGATGATTTTGTGATTCCCAAGGGATTGGTTTTTTTTGTTGCTGAAAAATGACACTTAGATATTTTCAGCATAGCATCAGGTAAGTGGAAACTTGCTTGCATAATTTAATTTTTTTTCTAGTTTGCTTTTGATCAGGAGCTATCCAGATTGATGTGTACTAATCATATTGTCCTACTGTTTCCAGAAGTCCATTTAGTGTTCAACTAGCTGTCATCAGTGTATAATATAAATTGTTTACTTTGCCAGTACCTTCTAGAAGTAATTCTATTCTAATGTTCTCCAAAGAGCTCAAAACTTATACAGTTATGAAAGAACCAGTCATAAGACCACACCAGCAACTACTTAAAGGTCATTCATTGGTTGTATTTTCAAAAGTGTCAGATAATCTTCCCCTTTAAAAGTTATTTTGTCCTTAACAAGGGAATAAGTTGTTTTTTTAATAACTTTACCTGCTGAAATTCAAGCAGATGAACCAGGAGATTCTAAATTAACATTGGCTGCATTTTCTATGGCCCCTAAATCAATTGCATTTCAAGAGTAAGGAAAATGGGTACAGTGGACACTTATCTTGATCTTAGCGCATAAAACCAGGCCACCACCTAAATTTCAGGCTTTTGTTAGTGTAGTGAGCCAGTAGATCCCATGTTTCATGCAAGCCGTGGGGCAGGTGATTTTTGTGGACTCTGAAACATACTTTTTGATGCTTGATTGCAAGAGTTTGCTGTAATTCTGTTGCAGAAAGTTAGGAACTAGGTGTGTCATGGTGACTTTTGTATATGGAAGAGCGAGGAAGTTCATTTTATGAATAAAGTTTTTGTATTGTTCTTGGTGGTAATGTTGACATTTCTTGCTAAGACGTTTTTCCTCTGTGGTCTTATCTCAAGTTAAGGGGGTGATGTTTCCTGGAAGAATTCTGAACCCTGTGTAATTGTCGTAATCTTGTTGCTGTTGTCTTCTAGCATCCTCCAGGACAAATAGCAAGGAAATACAGCTCCTGCTCTACCATTTTCCTAGATGATAGCACAGTCAGTCAACCAAACCTCAAGTATACAATTAAATGGTGGGTATTTGGATTTATTTATTTATTTTTACTTAATTCAATACTTTTTCTGTTCTTTAACCTGACGGCTAAGCTGGTTGGTTGTGGGGTCTGGAAGTAGTAAGATTGGATGAGTAAGGGTGGGGTAGCACTGATAATTCAGGAAATCTTTTTTAAAAGTGATTTTGGTAGTTAAATATGGGATATTCCAATTATTTTTACATATTACTATTTACATTAAAAGACCAGAATTTTAAAGTATTTTAAATGTAGATTACTTAAAATGCATTTTGGATTTTTGTTTATACTTTCTATGCTTGTACTTTTTATTGAAGCAATCCTGGCATAACTCTGCGAACTTTTTACCTTCTGAATAAAACGAGACTCCTGTGTTCCTAGTTGAAGACCCGGGGCTCCAGATCTTGATTGATTGAATCTGGCTGAGGTGTACTGTGGGTATCTGGAGTTTTAACAGATCCTGACTGATTGAATCTGGCTGAGGTATACTGTGGGTATCTGGAGTTTTAACAGATCCTGACTGATTGAATCTGGCTGAGGGGTACTGTGGGTATCTGGAGTTTTAACAGATTCTGACTGATTGAATCGGGCTGAGGTGTACTGTGGGTATCTGGAGTTTTAACAGATGTTGATTGATTGAATCCGGCTGAGATGTACTGTGGGTATCTGGAGTTTTAACAGATGTTGATTGATTGAATTGGGCTGAGGTATACTGTGGGTATCTGGATTTTTAATCCATCTTGATTGATTGAATCTGGCTGAGGTGTACTGTGGGTATCTGGAGTTTTAACAGATCATGATTGATTGAATCTGGCTGAGGGGTACTGTGGGTATCTGGAGTTTTAACAGATCCTGACTGATTGAATCTGGCTGAGGGGTACTGTGGGTATCTGGAGTTTTAACAGATCCTGACTGATTGAATCTGGCTGAGGTGTACTGTGGGTATCTGGAGTTTTAACAGATGTTGATTGATTGAATCCGGCTTAGATATACTGTGGGTATCCGGAGTTTTAACAGATGTTGATTGATTGAATACGGCCAAGGTGTACTGTGGGTATCTGGAGTTTTAACAGATCTTGATTGATTGAATCTGGCTGAGGTATACTCTGGGTATCTGGATTTTTAAACCTCCCCAGGAGAGTCTCACAGGCGGTCAAGGGTTGAGGACCCCAGATGGAAGTGGACAGCTGCCCTCCCCCCTCACCAGTGTCCCCCTGCCACTTTCAAATGAACTGTGGGTTAGAATGTAGTAAACAGAGAAGCTGAAGAGCAGCTTGCAACTTCAATGTAGATACTGGGCTTCCCCGACACAAAGACATGGTCTCTGCACTGCACACATTTGAAACTCTTTCAGTCTGTAATTTGGTTGCTTCTAAAAGTATCTTCCTTTTCTTTTCTTTTTTTTTAAGACAAGATCTTTGTCTCCAGGCTAGAGTGCAGTGGCGTGATCACAGCTCACTGTAACCTCCACCTCCCAGGCTCAATAGATCCTCCTGCCCTAGCCTCCTGAGTAGCTGGGCGTACAGGCACACACTACCACGCCCAGCCAATTTTTGTATTATTTTTTTTGTAGAAATGGGGTTTCCCCATGTTACCCAGGCTGGTTTTGAATTCCTGGGCTCAAGCAATCCACCCACCTTGGCCTCCAAAAGTGCTGAGATTACAGGCATGAGCCACTGTGCTCAACCAAAAGTATCCTCTTTTTAAAATGTGCACCAGGAGCTGGGCAGGGTGGGTCCCAAGTGAAGTAGTGCCATCAGACTCCTTCCCTGGAAACATCAGCATCTCACACTTGGTATAGCTAAAGAGTCAAACACATTTAGAGACATTAGCGGGTCCAGTTGAGTTCTGCTGCCAGTGGCGTTGACAATAGGAAAGGAAAGGGATACTCAGAAGGAAGAAGAATGAAAAAGATAAGGAGTTGTGAAATCCATGTGCCGTCCCATTCTAAAAATTTTCCGAAATCTTGCCCAAAGGAGGCTCCTGTTTTCTCCTTTGCTTTCTCTGCCTCCCATTAATCCAGGTCCTCTTGCTCCCTACTGCAGACATTAGAACTGATAACAGAATCATTCATATTGTAGTTCAGCTTCATTGTGGGCATAACTGAGCATTTGTGGGCCAGAGTTACTCCCTGAAATCCAGTTACAAGGTTGTAACTGTGAGAGAATGCCCTAGGTTCTAAACAGCGATTTACAAGCTGATTTTTGGAAGACAATCCGCTTGTAAATTGGAGATTGCCAGAAATAAACATGTTTGTAGATGCTAGTTGGGGATGGGGTAGAGGGTTGAGTGCTAATCTAACAGTGACGGAAAAGCTATTAAAAGGCTGGGTACTCATTCAGTACTCCCTCTTTCTGTAGACATCATTTTGTATTTTGAGAACTTGATTTTCCCATTTTTCCCCTAAATGCCAACAGCTGTGGTATGAATTTAGAGTTTGTCAGCCATACTTTGTGCCTCTGCAGCCAACCCCTCCCCACAAAATCCTCCAACAAGTAAAAGATGATGATCAAAGGAAAGAGCGAAGGGTGGTGGGGAGCCTCTGTGCACCGGGGCATACCATCAGGGGCCTTGTCCTCCAGGACTAGGGAACAGCTGATGCCCCTCACAGCCTTGTCTGTGGCTCAGCCCCTCTCTGCTACTAGAACCCAACCCCTCTTGCTCTTTGAAGGTTTTAGGATTGTCATATACGTTGCTAATTTAGCTCTAGGTGAGAAGTGAGACAAATGCAGTGCCCAAAATCACAAATCCATTTTGTTTTCTTGTGCATTTACTTCTTCCCCAGCTATGTGGCAAAAGCCGCTGAGGAAACCCTTTTGTCCAAATGTTCTGTTCTCTGGTAAGGCTCCAGCCCTTCCTTGGCGAAACCATACCATTTTCTGAGGATGTGGCAGAGCTGACCAAGCCTCTGAAGCTGGGCACTTGGAGTGTAGGGTCCCCCAGGTCCCCTGAGTTCTTTCTGTGTCCTAACCAAAAATCAGAGTGCCTTGACCGCTCTCTGGCCTGGTAAACTTGGGTTTGGTACGGGTGGTAAGAGCCAGTTAACTGTGGCTCACCAGGGTTAATTGATCTGGTTAGCCACTCTGGGCAGAAACTAAAGGAGGCCTTAGGTACTTGTCGGTAGGATTATAGGCTAGACACCAGTGGGTGGTTCTTTCTGGAGGTGAGGCAGAAAGGCTTAGCAGTGTCACAGCACTCCCCTCAGACTGTTCCCTGAGAGACGGAGTCATCCTGGCCCTGTGAAGGGGACACACCTGGGGTCCTTCACCTGGGAAGCTTAGAAACAAGGCACAGGCTTTGTTGCACAGATCGCCAGCGTGGTTGGATGTCTGTCCCATCCCCCTCCTTTCCAGGGGCTGGATGGCACCCTCTTCCTTGCCAACGTGGGTGGTAAGCCCCTCAAGGCTGCTCCACCTGTATGGAAGGACACTGCTTCCCACCTTCGGTCCCTTGGACGGGGCTTCGTAGATGAAATAGGGGAAGTAGAAACAATGACTGGCACAGCTTAGGTGAGAAGTACGCAAAGACAGAGGAACCTGCGAAGAGACCAGAAAGAAGGGGAGAGCCAACAAAACGGGTGTCAAAAGTCAGATTTGACAAGATCTTCTAAGGACAGATCTAAAAACAAAATAGCCCAATACAGTTCTCCTTGGACTTTAAAAAGCCCTAAAGCCATAGCAGCAGTTCACCACTAGGGTTAAACCTAAACCCTGGGCACTGCCTCTAGGAAAAAACCCAAGGACAGAAGGTGGTATCGCATCGCAACCTCTACTCTGACAAGAAGGCAAAGCTCTCTTCAGTGTGGTGCCATTCACTGGTTCCCTCAAAACAGAGTTTTGACTCTGGTCCCCCCAGGGCTGAGTGTTCTCCATTGCTTGCTGATCCTCATGGTTTCTGGGCCCCTGACTTACCCATACGGATCCAGAGACCCATCCGCCCCACTCTGTGAGATGAGCATGCCTCCTGTTACAAAGTAGACATTCTCCACTCACCCCACTGTGGGTCTACAACTTGCCAATCCCAAAACACATTGTGGGGAGAGACACTCTTCTGGGAGCTGCCTTTAGACTAACCCAGACAAATTCCATCTCTGGGCAAGGGCAATAAGAGCCCTTGAGGGGGTCAAATGAGAGCCAGTATATGACCCCACCCAAGACAGATTCTATAGATTCACATCTCCCAGGAAGACTCAGAAAGATAACAGTGGCTAAAAAGAGGGTGAGGATCATGCATCCTACATAGAACCCATACAGCAGCTCTGTGTGGCCGATACAAAACGTTAACGGCACCTGAAGGATGATGGTTTATTACCAAAACCTAAGGTGTCTCTTGGATGCTGTGGTCCCAAATGTTAGTCCCAAAAGATTGGTTGTGTAGGAACACGATAGACTGTCCTATGACAAAACTTTCCTGAACATACCCTTAGACCCGGAGTCCCAAGACATGTTTGCCTTCACTGGAGAGGCCCCCAGTGGACCCCTCAGGTGCTCTTCCAGGAGTGCTCACAGAGCCCCACTGCCGTGCTGGCATGATGGCCAGAGACCTGGCTGTTTGGGTGAATGCCTCGCATATCACCTAAAACATTGTATAGATAATATGTCACTGACTTACACAGGTCTTAGACGTTTTAAAAAGGCTACCCCAAACGTTCTAAAATACCTACAACTCCCAGAGGATGGGTTGTCAACCAACAGAGAGTCCAGGAACCAGGGCACACCATAAAAGTCCTGAATATATTCTAGGGTAAGGCTGGTTTTTCCAACAGCCGTATTTGACAAAAGACACAGCTGTGAACACTTAAAATGTCGTGGACCTTTGTAGAACCGCTAAGATACGAAAGGACCTTCATTTCCACTTGCCTCACTGTCTCATGCCATCGTGCTGCCTAATTAAAAGGGAGCATACTGGGACAGAGATCCATTTCTGGGGAGATTCCAGCCTCAGGTTGGACAAGAGTGCCTGTATGTAGTGTGAAGCTGCAAACTTGGGCCTGATTCGGTTGTCAGCTGACGGCCTCTTTCCATCCCAGCAGTCACCTCCTTCAAGACGACTGCTGAGCTAGTCCACGGAGCTGTACCGTGCCTGAACCCTCGGCCTGGTAGTCTCCCTTCCTGGGATAGAACCTTGAGTGGAAATTGGCTTGCAGAGTGGCTCTGCTTTTCCTGGAGGTCTTAGGCCATGATAATATCCAGTCTTGCCTTTGGCTTGGGAGATAGTGACCTTGGGACCCTGAAGATTTTCACCCAGTCTGTAGAAGTTAGAGGACCTCTTACTAGGGGAATAACAATAGTAGGGACTTTTCTTTTAAAAGTTAATATTGTGAGATCATGCTTTTATGTATTTTGTTTTATTTGATCGTAATTACAACTCCACGATGTGGGTCGTATTGTTCTAATTTTATAAATGAGGAAACAAAAACCCTGAGAGGTGAATTAGCAGTAATAAAGAGGAAGGAGCCAGGTTCAGAACCCAGGTCGATGTGACTTCAGTCTAGTGGTACTCGGGCTGCTTTATGCTCCCTTACAGGGGAAGCAGGAATGTCTTTCTCAAAGACATTATAGCAATCATGGCACTAACCCCAATCACGTGAAACATTCCATTGAAATGCGACGTTAGAAGAGCGGTCATCACTGCATGACTAGTAAATGAATGAAACTAATTCCTCCCTTTCCCGGAGGCGATATGGCCAAACGGAAGGGCACACAGCCTTACACAAGCAGGAATCCTGGCGGCTACCGCCTGAACCCAAGCTTTCCCATTTATAAAATAGAATCAATAACATCTGCAATTTTTTTTTTCTTACAGGATTGTTAACATATGTGAAAACACTTTGAAAACCTTATTACTTTTTATAAATTCTGAAGTTCTTTTACCCCAGATATAATTTCTTACATGCTTTTCAAGATGTTAAGAGAAAAAGGATGTATTAGCACTTACTTGCTCATGAGTACTTTCAACACTAGGCTGAAGTCATTTGAATGAATATTTCTGGAAAGAGAGAGGTTTGGAAGAATATAAGAGAGTGAGATTAGCGACTGTCACAGGGAAGCATCTGAGTGCTTTGGAATCCAAGGTGCATGCCCCTGTCCCTAAGCTGGCGCGGCTGAGTAAGCAGAAGTGTTTGGGCTGAGTGAGTACCCTGAGAGTATCAGAACACAGTCTGCTGCAGCCAGTGAGCTATGTTCTTAGAAGGTTAAAAAATAATTTTTGGCCTCAATAAATTTTAATGTAAACAAAACATAGTGGAAGGATCTAGACAGTTTTTGAAAGAGAAAATTTTTACAAATTGGTCAGAACATGAGTAACCCTGCCAACTTGGTAGGAGATTAAAGAAACTCAAATTGAAAAAGGCACACTTTTTTTTTTTTGTCCAGTTGGAGAACACTTGGTCAAAATATTCAGGTCAGTGTCATTGAGTGTGAATTGATACAGACACTGGGAGTACGCTGTGTAGACTTTCTGCAAAGGTGTTTGGCAGTATGTATTGAGAGCCTTGCCATGGTTACTGACTTTAGGTCAAGTAATTCCAAATTATAAGATGTATCCTTATGGAAATAATATAGTTGTAGATTGCACTAATATTGGGATGTTCATTATGGTGTTAATTATAATTGCAAAATGTTAGAAACAACCTAAACATTCAGTAGTAGGAGAAAAGTAAATTATTTGACAACCATATGAAGGAATGTAATCAGCCATTTAAAATCATGTTTTTAATGATAAAAAATGTTAGCATGATTGGGGTAAAAGTAGGATACAGACCTGTCTGCTTATACACGTAATTTATAGAAAGCTATATATCTTAAGCTAATAGTTACATTTGGGCAGAAGATTTTTCTTTATACTTTGTAAATATATTCTTCAAAATTTCTGCAATGAATATATTTTCTAGTCAGAAAAAAATTATTATAGAAAAGAAAAAGTTCAGGGAAAGGGAATGTAATTGTTCATTAAATTAAGAACTTTTAAAATATAAAATAAAATTTTAAGATAGTGCTACAAATAAAACTTAGAGTATCATTTTAGCAAGTGAATGAATAACTTGGGCAGATTGCCAAGAGGTTATTAAGAGAAAAAATAGCAAACTTCTGGTACTTATAAAGAAACCACAAATTTTCTAAACTAGTAGATAATTAGTTGGAGATTTCTAAAGATGTTTTCTTTGTACTACCTATTTTTTTACATAGTGCTTTTTTTTTTTTTCTTTAAGGAGTAAAGAAAGCTGAAAATTTCTGAATAGAAAGAGCAAGTTTGTTTCTAAATATTACTTGAAGTTCTTTGTTTCTAGAAGAGATTTAATAATTCCTGGGTATTGGTACCAGATTGATTTACTCAGAAGAGGACATTTTCCTGATCAGTATTGTGAATATGGGACTGTTTAGAAGGATTGTTAGGCTTTTACTTCTGTTTAAATATTTATGTTGAGACTGTGGCCAGGCAACGTGTGAGGTCTCGAGTATGCTCATGGACACTGAACCTTTGCATTTTATTTTACAGTGTCGCTCTTGCAATATATTATCACATCAAAAACAGGTATGTGGATGGTTGTGTACTAAATACATCATACGTTGTCTTCTGTTATGTTGCTCTTATTTTTCTCCTATTCTCATTGCCTCAACCTTTGAATTATATGTTCTTAACTCATATTTTCATAGAATTTCTGAAGGTAGAATAATTTACCAAAACTTCCCAGGTAAGTGCTGAACTGCTTTTGAATCAGAGGAAACCAAATGATCGTGGTTGAAACCAGCAAAAAGACAAAGCTTCTCAATGGTGTTGGCTTCCTTCTTTATTTTCTGTAAAATTTGTTTAAACATTCTGTCTTTTGTAAACTGTCATTTTAAAAGTTTACTGGGTGCAGCTTTAAGATGAAAAGCATTTAATTTATAGTTTGAATTCAGCAGAGGCAATTTTGTTATAAATTTAGGCATAAACTATTTTAATGTAGAAGCCCTCTCTGATGTAAGTGTATCTGGCAATAATTGGTTAATTTTAAAAGTCAGTTAAAACTGAATAAAAAAAAAACTACCTTATACATTTTATTTCAATGTAAAACATGTAAGAATACATTCATTTGCCAATTTTAAAAAATGCAGCTTCAAGACATTTGCTTCAAGCACAGGACATTGGTTGGAGAACCGAAACGTATTTCATAAGCCACAGCTACAATGAATTCATCCTTTCCAAGTTGGTTTTTTTTCTCAGTGGTGAGAAAGCTTGAGGACATTTGCATAACAGATGAGTGTAAAATCTTTCCAGTTTTGACCACACCTAATCTACAGCAAATTTATTTTTAGTGATTTTATTAAATCTTTCCAAAGCACCCTCCTTAGTTTTCAGGAGGACAGAGCCACGCTCATGGTAGTCGTATTTCATGCATAATGTGACATTCATGTATGTTCTATGAGTCTCCTAAGCACAGCTGGTGTGAGCTAGTTTGAGAACAAGCAGAGCCGCCACATGGTAAGTGCGAGCTCAGCCGCTGGGAGCCCCACACCGGTGTGTGTTTACAAGGCGTAGTTAGTGCAGGGGAGGCTGGATGACAGCCCCTAATGGACAGTATTGGAGAAAACATGAATAACCAGAAGCAGACACCTAGAAAGGGATTCTCTGTGATCACCTGTTTCCATACTGTAATTGTGATTCATGGTTCTTTATGGTGCTTGAGAATTTTGGGTTTAAGAAATTACAAAACAGTACAACTTTGGAACTCTAAATCTTGAATTAGAATAGCATATCAGTGAAAATGGAGATTTTGTCTTGTTGCCTATTTCTATACTAGTTTAACCTTTTAAATCCGTAAGGCTTAAGAAAACAGCATAATCACATTGATGAAACTCAGTGTGCTTTCAAGACAATTTTGCGTTAGAATCTCTAAGATATTTCTCAGTACTTAGACTGTGATGGATCCTGAAGTGAATGCAGCCAGAGTCATAATAGCAAGAGTCAGCTCTGTGAAGTGCCTACTCTGACTGTTCTGGTCAGTTCTTTACATGCTTTAATAACAACTCCTTGAGGTGATGCTGGTATCTTCATTTTACAGATAAAGAAATTGAGGCACAGAGAGATTAGTTTGACTAAGATGATACAACTAGTAAACTGGGGAATTGGGAAATGAATGCAGTCTACCACCCAGATGTTTAATCATAGTGCTCTCCTTGATTAATGGTGATTAATTGTGCCAAAAGTAAGTGAGTGGAAGAAGAGAAAGTCCAGTGAAAAACTGAGCATTTGTAAACAAGCATGATTAATGTATAGATTGCCACCTGCAGGTCTCTAGGTATGAGGAGGCATGCCCATCTGCACACCTTCTCCTCCCTGAGTCATGCAAGTTGGCTTTTGGCGCTGATGATAGACCTGTTAGCTTGATAGAGGTGGTGTGGTGCTGTTCAGCTGGGACACACAGCTTTTAGTGGAAGTAAGGAAACAGCCTACTTCACAGAGGATTCTCCAGAATCCCCTTTCCAGAGTCTTCTTAGCTTGAGCTCTTAATCCTCATTTATATTTTTAGCCTCTGTTCTCATTTTTAAAGTTACTTCAGGTGAGTGTTTCTCTAGAGTGGGGCTCTCTAATTTTCTTCAGGAAAATTGGATGGGGCTCAACTACCAAGGAATGGCCAGGCTCTATCTCTAATGCAGCATTTTCAGTGCTTCACAGAGATTCAAGATTTGGTTCATTTGAAAACTCAGTAACTAAGGTGAAGGAATCCACTGATTCTTTGTAGCCAGGTTCGGTATCAGAGTGTAACCATGCACACCCAGAAGCTGCTTTCTGCTCACAGACTCCCTGCTGGGTTGAACCTTTCTTTCGCTTGAGTTTATCTGTGTGTCTGCTGCCTGTGATCATGCAGGCAAGCATAAGTGAGCACAGATGTAAATGCTCAGAGCTTTAAAAATAATGGCTGTTGTGCAGATATAGGAATGAAAATTGAGCTGTTAAGCTTTTTCTTTCTCTTTTTACACAGATGGTAAATTTGTAAAGCAGAAATTGTAATGTTCGCCATGATGAGTGTGTATTAGGGACAGGTCTGTAGCCTTCTGAAGTTCTGAAGCCTGACACGGAAGCACAGACTATCGAAATTACATGCAGTTAGCCAAAAGCTATGGCTTCCAAGTTTGGTTGTTTAAAGAAAAATTTTTAGGCAAAACTCAAATTTCATAACACAGTTGAAAGTAGAATTGTCACTGATGAGGTATGGAGGGTCCCCGTGGAGCCCAGCGGCCCACGGCACTGTTCACAGTGAAAACTACCTCGTTAAGTGGTTCTGTGCATGTACCTGCCTGGTAATAGCTAACTATTCACTTACAGGTTATCGGCTAAAGACTTTTTACCTGTCATCGCTTGTTTTTCAGTATAAAATTGTGAAACTTAATGAAGTACTGACGTTGCATGTTGTGAATAATCAGACTGATCTCTAGGATATATCGAGTATTCATTCTTACCCTGGCACTTCTTTTCTATCAGCCACAGTATAGTGATGGTTTAAGCAGATCCATCAACTTTTGCTTGGAAATAAGATGTCAAATTTAAGTCATTTGCTTAGATTCGGTTCATTTGAAAACTCAGAAAATTAAAATTAAATTTTTACTTAATTTAGCTAAGTGTGGTTTAGAATCTTAATTTCCTAGGGCTATTCAAACAAAAGTGATTAAATATTGTACCCAAGAAAAACAGATCATTATTCATGAATAACCATTTAGCACTGACTTGTGTTTCTTGAAATAGTAGAATTGGCTAGGTGCTGTGGCTCACGCCTATAATCCCAGCACTTTGGGAGGCCAAAGCGGGTTGATCCCTTGAGGTCAGGAGTTTGAGACCAGCCTGTCCAACATGGTAAGACCTCGTCTCTACTAAAAATAATAAAAAAAAAAAAAGTTAGCCAGACATGGTGGCGCATGCCTGTAATCCCAGCTACTCGGCAGGCTGAGGCAGGAGATCTCTTAAACCTGGGAGGTGGAGGTTGCAGTGAGCTGAGATGGCACCGCTGCACTCCAGCCTGGGTGACAGAGTGAGACTCCATATATATAAAAAAAAGAGTCATTGAATTAAAATGTATTTTGTTTGTCATTTTTATTTGAATGACATTCTTGCAGAAAGTAAGTTTCATTTTCTATTATTTTCCCTACCAGGGATCCAGATGGAAGGATGCTCTTAGATATTTTTGATGAAAACCTTCACCCTCTTTCGGTAATCTGTTTGTGTTTCGTGAGATGATTTAATTATTTTGTTTTTGCTCCTATGGGGAGAACAGTTATCTGAAAATATTTTCTTCCCCAGAAATCCGAAGTGCCACCAGACTATGACAAACACAACCCAGAGCAGAAGCAGATTTACCGGTTCGTTCGGACGCTGTTCAGTGCTGCTCAGCTGACAGCTGAATGTGCCATTGTCACCCTGGTGAGTGCTGTCAGGATGGCCACACCCATCCCCAGCCTGGGTGGTCCAGGGCTTGTTCCTGTCACTCAGTGGAGTGGACTTCGAGCAGGGAGTCCTCGCCAGGTGACCCTGGGGACATTGTGGCACAAGCTTCAGTGTTGCCGTTCTCCTCGGAGAATAGAGGATAGATATCCTAGAAGAGGGTGTGAAAATTGTTCCACAGCCCCCACCTAAAGTCATTTGTGAAATCACGTTCAAACTCAATAAATGCCGAAATTAAAAATGCAGGTAAGTAAAGCAGTCGGGGTAGGGGAGTGATCAGAATGGCCGAGGTACTCCTTGTAAACATCCAGGTTTCTTGTTCTTGGTTCCCTACAAAGATTGTAATGACAGTAAGATATGATGAATACCTTTATCTGAACACTTATCTAGGAAGGAGTGTATATATTCGTAGCTTCTGTTTTGTGACTTTTGACTAAATGTGTCTGCAGGATATTCAGAGATAGTAAGGAGGTAATTTATATTTTAAGACTCAAGAAAAAATAAATAAAAATTTATTCTAATGGCTGGGCTCCATGGCTCATGCCAGTAATTTCAGCACTTTGGGAGGCTAAGGCGAGAGGATAAATTCGCTTAAGCCCAGGAATTTGAGACCAGTCTGGACAACATGGTGAAACCCCCGACTCTACAAAATTAAGAAATCAGCCAGGCATGGTGGCACATGCCTGTGGTCCCAGCTACTTGGGAGGCTGAGGTGGAAGGATCACTTAAGCCGAGGAGGTCAAGGCTGCGGTGAGCCATGATCATGCCACTGCACTCAAGCCTGAGGGGTAGAGGGAGACCCTGTCTCAAAAGAAGAAAAAAATTCTTACTTGGATTCTTAAAATGTTATGCACTATTTAGGTCAAATCTCACTTGGGAAATAGATTTAACAATGGAACCCTTTTTGTCACTGACCTTTTACATTGTGTGTAACTTAGATGAGAAATGAGCTTTGCCTGTGCACGAGCTATCCTGGAGATCAGAGTACCATTCTCTGTAGTTTCTGAGAAGAGGCAATTGTCTAGTAGAAGCTTTACAGGCACTGAAGGACTCTTGTCTCTGCCACACGAAGAGCTGTGTGCTCTGAGGCTAACTGAACAGGATCCCTGTTTGCTTGTTTGCTCATTCATTCATCTGCTCATCCATTTGTTCATTTCTTCTCATTGAACTCGCAGCCTGAAGGATAATAGAACAGACAGTCAAGGAGTCATTAGATGATTTGGAATGATTACAGGTTCCTAAGTCATAATTGAGAAATGTATGTATTGCCCAGCTTAGTTCCTCAAAGGGATTTCAAGTTCTAACATAAACACACAACAGGGCAAGAGGGTTCAGATTTTTATGTAGGGAAATTGGGTGAAGGGAAAAGCAGAGGAAACCGTAGGTGAAGTTAGTATTGAAACACGTGCCATGAGGAAAGGTTTACTTTGAAGCTGCTGTAGATGGAAGGTGGTGGGGATTTTTTACACCTTTAATTCCTAAGAAAAATATGGCCTGGTTATGAATGGTAGAGCCTTCTTGTTTGGGGTTACTATTCAGTGTGAAGGAGGTTTGTGTCCTGTGGAGGACAGGGCCGGCACTTAAACCCCACAGCTCGCCAGTGTCTACCGTGAGAGAACATCTCACAGGCCTCCCTCGCTGCCTTCTGTGTCACTCACCAAAGGTGACAGGGCTGATGAGTTCATGTCTTTGGAATAGTGTAGGGGTGGCACTTTTCTTGTGAAATCTTCATCCATCCTGTGAAATGAACTGGCGCTGAGCAGGATACCAGTTTGCATGGGGGTCTTGGTTGTTTGCAGCTGGAAAGGAGCAGGCTTGGAGGCCTTCATGGTGGGTGCAGCCTGCAGCCCATCCTCCAGTCACTGCTGCCTGCCAAGGCTCAGCCCAGCTACATGCTTGTGGGCAGAGGGCATAGAGATCGTGCTTTGAGCGAGACTCTTGTAGGATTATTCTTCCCTCCTTGTGTCCCCTAGAGTTAGAAGCAGTCATTCAGGACAGGTCTGCCCTAGAGTTGACAGAGATGCATTCATTAACTGCTGCTTTTCTCCTGGGCGTGTGTTCGGCATCTTGGTATGCTGCTCAGGAGGCAATGGGGGAGGAATAGCAGTGAGCCCTGGCCCTGCTTCCCACACGGAGCAGGACTGCAGCCTGCTGTGGACAGAGCCTGCAGATCCTTCAGACACCGAGACCTACCTCACCCAAAGCAAGTATTTCACAGCTTAATGAACTTTTTTAAAAAGAGTAACTTAGTATCACTAAGTATATTTTTTAGCAATATGTTGAAAGCTCTCCTGTAGATACTGCCACATGAGGAAATTCAAAAGGGAGTGAGGTAATTGATTTGCACCTTGCTGAGTTGTGTAGATGCCTTTGTGGTGTTCCTGAAACAGCTGGGGGAAGCCAGGCCTGCAGTGAGGTGGGTGGAAAGGCCTTGGCATCCAGCTGCCCCTCCGTGACGCCCTGCCCTTCCCTCAGGAGTTACTTAAGCTGACTGATCCTGAGAACCATGCGTGGCACCCACTTTAGTCCCATGTGGTACTTTGACAACACTGGAGGCTCACCACCTGTCTGAACTGGAATCTTCTGTTGGAAGGATGAGAAAGCCAGAGGCCAAGGCAGAAGGGGATATATTGGAAGGTCCAGGCAGGCCCCACATATTCCTTCTCCTGTAGGTGTGGAAGGACATCAGGCTGTAGAATGAGGCCCACCGCAGGTTTCTCTTTGGGCTGCTGCCTCTCGCCTTTGCGCCCCTGTGGCTCTGGGGCCTTAATATGCAGGTCAGCTTTCTTGCTTTGGATGGGAGGTGGCAGGGAACTGTTAATAGCTTTCTCCACCCTGTCTTCATCCCTTCTCTGTTTAAGGCCCTGCATTCTCTAACCCCATCTCCTTTTTTGATTTTGGAGAGGGGAGGTTTTGACTGGCCCAGTTCCTTTGGGGTCAGGTGTTCATCTGTAGAAACAAATCCGTCATGACCCAGAGCTGAAGGGGCTTGGTCCTGCGCTGTTATTATTCCCACTTTGCCCTCTCCTCTGTTCAGAGCCTGTAGTAGTTCCCCATGTTCCTCAGAGGAAAACCCAAAACCCTGACATGACTGACAGGGCCCAGCAAGATTAATCCTCCTTCCGTCTGCCCAGCTGCCTCTGCCACCTGCCCCAAGACTTCTGCACACAGCCCCTCTGTTATGGTCATGCTTGAGATGCATCCTGCCCTCCTCCACCTCATCTTTGCTCAAAGGGCACATCGGGGGGCTATTGCCTGGCCACCATGTCTGAAGTTGCAGCCTCCCTCCTGCTCCACGCTCCCTGCTCATCACTTCCTGCTTTTTCTCTGCGTGCTTAACACCTATCAGCATTTTTAGGTTGAAGTCATTAATTTTATTGTTTTGTCAGTAAGCTCTATGAGTAAGAGATGTTTTCTCTTTTTGTCCATTTTGTTCACTACAATATGACCAACATCTGGAACGCAGCCCAGCTCATAATAAATGCTTAATAAGTATTCATTGAACATGTAGTGAGCAGTAGTAAGTGCCTACTGGCTGAACTACATGCTGGCGATGTGCCTGAAATGTAAGAAGCATTTAATACCTATTCATTATCTTCCCCTGCCCCACTAGTATTAGAGCATCAGACACATATTCTGTCATTTCATTGCTTAGGTTTTTTTTTTTTTTTTTTGAGACAGAGTCTCACTTTGTTGCTCAGGCTGGAGTGCAGTGGCACAATCTCAGCTCATTGCACCCTCCGTCTCCCGAGTTCAAATGATTCTCCTGCCTCAGCCTTCCAAGTAGCTGGGATTACAGGCATGTACCACCATGCCCTGCTAATTTTTTTGTATTTTTAATAGATACGGTGTTTCACTACATGGGCCAGCCTGGTCTTGAACTCCTGACCTCAAGTGATCTGCACACCTCAGCCTCCCAAAGTGCTGGGATTGCAGGCGTATGTCACTGCCTCTGGCCCTGCTTAAGTTTTCTGAAGGGACAGTGGCAGACTCTTCAACTTCAGGGACATTACTCAGCTGAACCTTGATCGAGCATTCTGTGTGAGGTTGGTTCTGTCCGCAGAGCCGCAGAGATGGGAGAGGGAGAAAGAGGAAGCTGGTGATTGATGGAGGGATTTAGACATAAAGGAAGGGAAACCAAGAAGAGATGGAGGTGGCAAAGTACAGCTGACCAGACAAGAGGGGGTGTGGTTCCTTTATTATCTACTTTTTAATAGCTTTATTGAGACATATTTTATATACCATAACATTCAGCCATTTAAAGTGAGCATTTCAGTGGGTTTTAGTACATTGTACAACCATCACTGCAATTTAATTTCAGAATATTCCCATCATCCCATAGAGAAACCCCTTATCCTTTAGCATTCACTCCTCATTCTCAGCCCCGGAAACTACTAATCAAATTTCTGTCTCATTTGCCTGTTCTGAACATTTCATATAATTAGTATCGTATATGACCATTTATGACTGGCTTCTTTTACTTAGCATATGTTTTCAGAGTTCATCCACATTGTAGCATGTGTAATTTTTTTTATTGCAAATAATATTCCATTGATTGTAGATACATACATACATACATACATACATACATACATAAGAGAGAGTGAGTGAGTGTTGTCCCTCCTTGTACAAGGGTTTTGCATCTGAAGATTCAACCAACTGCAAATTGAAAATGTGCTTAGGCCTGAGATGGTTGCATCTGTGCTGAGCATGTACAGACTTTTTCTTCTTCTTGTTATTCCCTAAACAGAGCAGTGTAACAACTATTTACATAGCATTTACATTGTATAAGGTATTATAAGTAAGTATGTAAGGTGATCTGCACAGGTTATACAAAATTGACTATGCCATTTTATGTCAGGGACTCTCCTTCCTCAGATTTTAGTATCCACAGGGCCTCTAGGGCCAACCTCCACCATTGCTGAGGGATGCTGTACTTCATTTTGTTTACCCATTCATGAGTTGGTGGACATTTAAGT